TGTTGCCTTATTTTATGTATTATTTTCACTGTTTTGCCTTATTTTATTTATGTATTATTTTGCTTTTTAGTATTTTTAGTATTGCTATTTAGCATTTTGCCTTATTTTAGATATTATTTTAACTGTTTTATCAGTCACTCTGTTAATTGCTCATATATCGCACTGTACGCATTTATTATTCACATTGTAGATGTCCTTTTGTAACCACCTATTCATAACTCTGTAAATATGTAGCTAAAATTGTTCTTCTAACCCGCAATGCACCCTTCTTTCATCACTGCACTATTGTCTTGCCCAGCATTTTTTTGCACCGTCCCCAGCACTCGTCTTGAGTACAATATGTACCAAAGTGTGTTATGTGGACCAAGTTAATTCTGTCAGCGAGGCCTAGCTGGCAGATATGCTAACTGCCCTAGTTGATCGGCTGCCTCGCTGTCGGTGGAAAGAAAGAAAAGAGCAACACTTTTTGAAATAAATAATTTTTATCTCTAATGCGCGAGACTGTTGCTACTCAGAAAAATGAGTGCAAAAATTAGCGTTTTCAGAGTTTTTAATTAATATCTCGGATAAGTCGTACGAAGATGGGAACAGTCGAAATAGCTTCCCACGACGTTTTGGAATCGGGAATAATATATTTAATGTTTGGCAATGTTATTTTTATTTCATATACTGTAAAACTTAGAAATTTTTTAATAAGAAACTGTATGATTTGAAAGCGAGCAGTGGCAACACTTTTCAAAATAAAGCAGATTTTCATCTCCAGCGTACGAGACTGTTGCCATTCAGAAAAATGAGGGCGAAAATTAGCGTTTTTCCGAGTTACTTAATATATCGGCTCGAAGTCGAACGAATATGGGAATGGTCGAAATGGCTTCCCATGAATTTTTGGAATCCGAGGGTACCGATCTCGAAGTTCAACTCCCCGCCGTTAGGGTGGAGATAATGCCACAAACAAACAGACAGACGCGTACAGATTATAATAGTATCCCAACGTGGTCCCTATGGAGCCCCGGGGGTCAGGATCATTCAGAGGGTCCGTGGAAAATTAAAATTGATTTGGGGGTCCCTGAACATCAGGGGGTCAGCACAAAGTTTTATATAAAATAATAAAACTGTGATCCATTTTTATTATTATGGAAATTTAAATAAATAAAAATAAATAAAATAGTAGCGATTTTTTACGTCCTAAGTAAAATATAAATATAGGTGAGTGCTTAAAATACGGTATGTTACTGAGCATTATGTAATACTTTTTGTAAATGAGCATTGACAAAACTTATTTTCACTAATTTGTTACTTATAGTAATAGTTGTGTGTATAATTTACTTCAATAAATTTAAGCTCTCAATTTCCATCAACACACTAACAATATAGTAATAAAATAATAACGAAATAACAATAGAAAAACTGAGATAATCCCTGAAAAACGAAAATTAAAAAAATCCACTGATACACGCCTATGTTTTTAATAGTTCTAATTTTTAATAACATGCATGGGACGATGCGACACAGATGGTCGGAAAAACACGTCTATACAGAAACGTAATAATGCCACTACATGCACTAACTTGTTGACATAAACATAAGTAACATAAACTATAAAAGAGTCTTATATCGCACATCTAATCAACAATTTAGTTCTATGTTATGCTGACGTGAAATGTATAAACAAATTTTCCCAGTCTTAGGCAAAAAGAAGTTTTGTATTGTTACGCAGATAGTATACTTTTGTTATATAAGTATGTTTGAATAAAATTAATCTCTTTTGCAAAAAATTATATATAAATTTCAATATACTTTTTATTAAAACCTTACGAAGAGATCGTAAGTTTTTCTTTTAATACAGAAGTTTTTTGAAAGAAGTTTATCATTAAGAATTATATTTTATCCTTACCTCAAATAATAATTCAAAAGAGCTTTATTGCAGCATCTCATTGAAAAAAAATTAATAATTGTTGCAAATAAAACATTTGATATACAAATTCTCTTATATCCTTTTTTTTGCCCTTTTTAGATAACAGCATGAGTGAGCCGAAGAAAAAATGCTGACAATACAGTGTTCACTATTTGAAGTACGGCTTTATTTCATCAGCGGGAAATTGTACTTTACCTATGTGTCTTCTATGTAATAAAACTATGTCTAGTGATTCAATGAAACCTTACATGCTTAAGGAACATTTAATAAAAATCCATAGTGACAAAAAAGATAAGGATTTAACGTTTTTTCAAACAGTTAAAGAAAAATATTTGAAAACACAACATCTAAGCGAGATACATCTCTGCTTCTTCTTACAACATTTCTTTATTGACTTCAAAGTCCGGAAAGCTTTACACTATTGGTGAAGAACTTATTTTACCAGCTGTAAGTGAGGTAATATGCACCGTGTTGCACCAGTGTCTGACACTGGTTGCACACAACTGCTTTCGACATTATAAAAAGACTAAATTCCACTGAGTAATAATACAGTACAAAGAAGGATTGGCGAAATGGGCTCAGTGCGTAGAAAATTCTTTAAGTACCGTAATTTCGCACGTATAGTCCGCACCATCGTATAGTCCGCAGACACGATTTTATATAAAAAAAAATGAAAAATTGTCAGATAGTCCGCACCACCGGATAGTCCGTGGACTATACGTCCGAAATTACGTTTTTTTAATACGGCAATATTCCCATGCTTTTTAAACACATCCTTTTGCGCAAATTTCTCACCGCTTTCTTGTCCACTTCAAAATAACGGAGGTAAAATCCTAGTATACGGTGCAGCCTTGGCGCGACTTTGAAAATTATCGCCAACACCAAAAATGATCCAAAGAACGTCTATATATATACTATACACGCATAGTATATATACTATATACTATGTTTAACTATATATTTTCTTTGAATGACCCGTTAACTACTCATCGTATATGTCCCGTTTTTACTGCTCATCATAAAGTCGCCAAAAGTAGTCAAATCCCGTGTGCACCGGATACTAGGATTAAACCAATAACGGCCCGCTTCTCTATTTCCATCTTTTTCAGTTTTCTCAAGTAACCTTGAGTTTAACTCAACAGTAAATCTCCGGCGGATGTTTCATCAACGTTAGCGAAGATGAAAAGACAAAATACGAAAACAAAATAAAATACTGTGCAACGTGCTATCTTCGTGATAAGTGGTAATGAAATGTGACCTGACCGACCTTCAACCCCACTAACTCAGGTGTCATGCCAAACCACGTCTATAAGTAAACGAATCACGCTTTTTTTTTCGTACTCCAGGTACTTGCTACTATGGCTCTTAAAAACCGAACTGACAAATCAACTACTTTTCCCCCTCCCGGCAGTTGTGCTAAAGCAGTGCGAAGGACACTTGGAATCTCGCGCTTTTTTTATATTTGATCATCGGCAGTTCACGACAGCGTGTTTTTTAAATTTCAACAATTTTAACCGTGAACAACCAGCGTATTATCCGCACTGGTGGATAGTCCGCAGCTTCAAAAATTCGCATTTTAAACACAGTTAGTCCGCGGACTATACGCGCGAAATTACGGTACTTAAAAATGTTTGAATTTTCTATACAGCTTGACGATTCCACTTTACCAAGAAACAAAGCTTTACTTTTAGCTTTTTTTACTATTTGTAAAAGAAGATAAATATTAAAATATTGCTAAGAATTGTTATTTGCTAAATGTCTGGAAATCGATACGAAAGGAGAAACGTTATTTACGGAATTAAAAAGATTTTTCGATGTAAAAGCTACGCCTTTGTCTAATATCATTTATTTTGCTACTGACGGTGCTCAGTTAATGGTAGGAAGATATTAAGGCTTTTTGGCATACTTAAAGCAAGCTCTACCAAATGTATTTTCAGTACACTGTGTCATTCATCGACAGTCGCCAAAAAATCTTTGTGAACGTTTGCATGGATCACTAGATTATTTCATTACACCAGTTAATAAAATCAAAAGGAATGCCTTCAATGAGAGATTATTTGCTCAACTTTTATTTGGAAAATGATGAAGACTATAACTGAATAAAATAAAGACAGCTTCACACAGAAGTACATTGGCTACCTAAAAGTTCATATTTAAATCGATTTTATGCGCTCTTTGATTCAGTGTTGGAATTCTTGGAAAGCAAAGATAATGATTTGCGACACACTTTAATTAACTGAAAAAATGACATAGCCTATATCATTGATTTATTTGCCAAATTTAGCGAAACTGATTTGAAACTACAAGGTGACCAATTAAATTTAATCAAAACTAAAATCGTAATATCTGCGTTTGTTGCAAAACCTTTTCAGTACAAACAAAACTTGGAAAGAGGAGAATGTTCTCAGTTTCCAAATTTTCCGAAATCGCAAAATAGAGAAGAAGATTTGCTTGCTTACTGTCAACACCTAACGGCTCTTCATGCAGACCTGAACCAAAGATTTGAAAACATTCTTCACTTGGATATTCCCGACTGGATGTTGAATCCTTTTGCGCGTGGACAAACCCAGATTACGACTCAGAAACACAGATAAATCCACAACTCAGAAACTCAGGAAAAGAAAGAAGAAAACTGATTAAAAATAAGTGTTCGTGGGGATTTGCGGTTGCTACTCACAAACATTGAGCCGGACATAAATGCACTCGTAACATTTCATCAAGTTCATGCAAGTCATTATTTTTTTTTAAATTTTATTTTAAACAAATTACAATTTCAATAAATACTTCTTCAACAATTTTTTTAATTTGTTATTTTTATACTATATATAGCTTTTTCACTTGGGGTCCGTGGGCAAGTTTTGACTATAGAAAGGCATCCATGGGTCAAAAAAGTTTCAGAACCACTGGTATAGCTGGTTAAGAATAATAAATTCTTGCAAAAAAAGCTTACAAATTAAATAATATTACTAACAAATAATAATTTTCATCTTACTAGCTCAAATTTTTCATGTTATATTCTTCTCGTATGATATCACTGCAATCAAATTATATAAATGTGTAACAATAAAACAAAATACCTACTTACCATCTGAGGTGTTAGAATCGGTTGTGACTGCAAGGTTGATGCCTGCGTAAGAACTTGGTTTACTGCTGGAACACTATAAAAATAATAAATGCATGTAAAAATAGTATTACTTATTAAGAGCGGAATAATTTAATATAAATAGCACAGCTGAAATAGCAAATCATATATAAGACAAGACCATATAGAACAAAATTCTCATACAGGAATAAAAAAAGCATCTTGCATTTAAAGATAGTAAGGTTTATTTTATTCAACATATGTAAAGATATTACTTGTTTTTAATAAGAGATGCAGAGGATAAGAACTTTTACTATATAGAACACAATACACCGCGAAGATGACATCCGTCCTAGTTCGTGCCGTACGGATACCTTTATAAAACTACTTTGAGATATTTTTTTAAATAAGAGCAAAGTTTGCAAGTTTCCAATTCAATATGAAGTGCAATAATAATATTTGCTGTTAAAAATATTAGAATACTGCAGTTCTTCATAAAGTAACTATTTAAGATAGAAGACTAGAAGAATTATCAATATACAGGGTGTACCGTCAATGTTGCGACAACCTTTTAGGGGAGGTAGGGCATCATAAGGATTAAGAATTGCATAGGGACCTATACCCGGAAATGTCAGGGGTAAATGTGTAGAGACATTAGGTATTTTTTTGGAAGCAGGCAAGATGAAAAATTAGCAACGCCTTCGCCGGGAATCGAACCGCGGACCTCTGGAATACGCGTCCAGCATGCAGATCACCACACCACGAAGGCGTGCCAAGAAGGCGGGAGAAATACCTTATATACTCCCCCTTTCAAAGCGCGACTGGGGTTATTAGGGGACCCAGTCGCCAAATCCTGGGTGTGAAGAATCATCCAACACCCTTTTAGTTCGTTCGGTGACTGTAGAGACATTAGGAATTTTTGGAAGCAGGAGACTTGAAAAATTAGCAATGCCTTCGCCAGAAAACGAACCGCGGTCCTCTGGATATGCGCCTAGAGTGCAGACCACAACACCACGAAGTCATGCTAAGAAGGTGGCAGAAATACTTTACCTACCCCCCTTTTAAAGGCCGACTGGAGTTTCTACGAAACCCAGTCGCCAAATCCTGGGTGAGGAGATTCATCATCCACCACCCTTTTAGCTCGGGCGCCACTTTAGACATTGGGTGTTTTTTTTTTTTTTTTTTTTTTTTTTTTTCCGAAGCAAAAAAGATTGAAAAATTAGCAACGCCTTCGCCGGGAATCGAATCGCGGACCTCTGGTACCGTTGTTTTACCACAATGTGAGGAACATACATATATTTATGCAGATTCTTCATTACTGTAAAGGCCCTTATTTTCGCGGGCCGTAATTTTCGCGAAAATGAATATATCGGTGACTTCGCGAGTTGAAAATTTCGCGAATTTTATATGAACAGAACCGAAAGCTGAAAAATTTAAAAGTACCTAAGTAAAGTTGAGAAAGTTGAAAAAAAAAAAGTATTTCGCGAGGCTTTAATTTTCGCGGTTACGACGGGCTCGCAAAAATTAAAGCCTGGGGAAAATAAGGGCCTTTACAGTATTTAATTTCTTTAAATATGACACAGGGCGATAATATTTGGTGGCAACGATTTGAAACGTGAACCGATATTTAAAGTTTTCAATGCAAAATGCCAAAAACGAAATAATAGCCCTTCTGGGCTAACGCCCTTTAAGCTAAGGGAAAAAAAAAAAAAAAAAAAAAAAAAGAAAGAAAGAGAGAGAAAGATAATTGCTCACGCAACTAATACCCACATGGACGAAGACGTACAGACCCACGCGCATAAAAGCTTACAATGATAAAAGACTACACTGATATAAATCCACCTTGGATGTGAATAAAAGCCCACATGTACAAAAGAACACGTGATTTTTATCAATATAAACAGCATGATCATAATTATAATAAATATTGATTGTAATTATAATAAATGGAGTAACTGAGTCTGATTATTGTATGTGTCCAAAATAGATCCGTTTATATTTTTTATCACTATTATATTTGTATGTTTTATTATGCTGTAAACAAAGCATTTTTCTGCTTTCTAATTAAGTGGCCAGTTGTAATGTTTTGATGATAAATCTGAAAATTTTACTTTTTGATTTATTTTATTAATTTATTTTGTGTGTGTGTGCATGTGAAAATAAAAAACATCACAGTAAAATTCCACAAAACCTATTTTTAGTATTATATGGCTAAGACTAATTATATGCACGTTTCAGTATTAAAAAATGAGACAGGTATTACTTAATCAAAGAACTGAAGAAATTAGTTTTATACTTAAAATGGAATGTTTTTTAAGTCTCTTTTAGTTATTGAACTCACATGTAAAGCTGCATCTCATAAGTCTCATAGAACTTGGGTATGCTCACTAAAAGAAGGCTTTCCTTTTCTTAAGTGTTTTTTAAATCAGATTAAATGGCTATATCTAATATTTGAGGCAAATCTTCATTGCCAAAATTTTTGTTCGTTTCAAAAAGAGATTTTTATTTTTTTATTTTTTTTATTTTTTTTTAAATTTTCCCCCCTCAATGTAATATTGTAGAAACAGAAGTTTGTATAAAAGCGCATGCTTGCCTTTTGATCCCATCACGCGGCACTTGGACTTACACTGAATGATTAAACATTTTTTTTTTAAATGCTGCTTGTGAATTTTCAGAATCCAATTTTAAATTGTATTCGAAGAAGTCTGTGATACACTTATAATTTTACTCTCACAATATTATTTTCTTTAAATTAATTTTTTTATCGATAAGAATATAATTTACTAAAATATTTACTGAATGTAGCAGTTATTGTATAAATTATCGATAACATTTTAATGTTAAACATATATAGCAGAATGTGTATTGTAGTAGTAAATATGCAAATGAAATTATAGCAATATAAACATACAAACTTAATTACCATAGTTAAACTTACTTTTATCCTTTCACTGAAACACAATTGATGAAATTCAAGAACTATAAAAATATTGGAGTGAATTAAATGAAGCTAAGCAAGCATTCTAAAATGTTCAAAACTAATCTGTACACTATCATTTTCAGATATTTCTTTATTACTTTTGTTAAGCAAAGATGCGTTGATGACATGAAAGAGGAAAGCTTAAAAATTGCATGTCTGATGCTTACTGAATATACAATTTTTATTTCATTTTTTTATTAATTTTCATTAATTTAATTCATTATTTTGCCCAATATCTGAATTTTTACTTAAGTTCAGATTTCTTTTGAAAGGAATCATATCTGGAAGTTTTTGCTAAATGAAAATAAATGATTAAATCTTTTAAATTCAACCAACTGAAAAATGTTTTTCACCTATACGACATGTAATACATAAAAGTTGTTATACATACTAGCTTCATCAATTGCTCAACATTCTTTTATCCATAGAAATTGATAGAACTAACTTCATTAAAAAGTTGATTTTTTACTTAATTTTATATTTGTTTTTTAACTCCAAGAAGGAAATTAACAGACAAATATGAAATTCTACATTTTATTCAAGTTGGCTCAGTCTAGAATGAATTAAGTCCTAATAAAGACTGAATGTAGAAGTAATTTAATTTACCATACTTCTTTTTTTACCAACAACTGTTATACAAAACTTAAAATTGCATGCAGATTTTTCGAAAATAAACGTTAAGACATAAATTTAGAAAAATGATGTTGTAATATCTACTTGTTAAGCTTTCAGTATGACAGCTGAACTAAGTGTAGGAACCAGACAGGAGAAGGGATAAAAGAACCCTCTATTAGACTCTATAAAAATTCACAGTGCGTTGATTTGACGCTAACAAACTATGCCTCGCTCGGGCGGTAACTCAAATAACAAGAATTAAACTTAAAATTCAAAGATATTAACACAACAGTAGAATTTTCCGCAGGGATCAGATAATTCTATTACCGCGTTGAAGTCTCGTGGCAGCAAAATAGTAGATGTTACGCCACTTTAACCAGCAATTAAATGCAGAATCAGAAGCTCACGCTACAAAGGTACAGTGCCACTCTTTCTAACTTTCTCTTCTAGAACTTGATATTTAAGTCTTTTCTTCTGATGGTAGACTTTGCATCCCTTCATGCGCACTACCAAATTTAAATATTCTGGCATTGGCAATTAGAGGAATGAAGGCTTATAGGAAAGAAATCATAAATTTAACTGGTTATTAAAAATAAATATAAATCCGTATAATGTCCCAATATCATACTTACTATTGCAATGGCAACGCTAAGAAACCAAATTCGAATGGTACCTGACTTTACAAAATCCGGTTAATGCATTGTTCTTAGGCACAAACCTCAAAAACAGACGGAATTTTTATTTTAAGAAAAAAACTATTAGGAACTTTCGCACTCATTTAATAATGAGGAAAATTATTCAAAACATAGCGCCCCAATTGCATATTTTTGTTCCACTGAATCGTCTGCAACAAAAATCTACTACAAGTGAAGTGGTCACAATTTGTGTTTTGTTAGGATATGATATTCACACGGGAAAAACGATAATATCACTTTTCGGGATGAAGAAAATTTTTTTAATTTGATATATATTTTAAAATAATAAGCTTTTAAAAGACATGTATTTTTCCCTTCTTCTTAATCTAAGTGAAATAAAATTTAATATGTTATGACAGTGTAAAACCCCCAAAAGAACCGTTCTTCATAATTCTATTCTGCAAGTCAATCCGGAAAATGCTTACAGTTTATTTACATAAAGCATATTTTCTCCTTACTTTACCTAATATGCTTATACTAAAATGGACTTTTAGATTTATTACTTTAATACGTTCTTCCAATCAAAAAGTTGTTAAAAATAAGATGAATACAGTCAACAGTAAGAGTGGGAAAGTTTTGATAAAATAAAATAACTTTTAGCTCCCGCAGAGAAAAATTTCAATCAGTAATCTATTAAAAAATACATTAATCTGTTAAAAATTCCATTCATTTATGTTTAAACGTTGCAAATGTTATTGCTTAATCCAGGGGTTCCCAAACTTTTTCAATTGACGGCGCACTTGTAGTTTTGTTATTTTTCCACGGCGTCCCGGTTGCAGTATTTCT